ATGTTATTCACCATAAAGCAGCTGTTTCGGTAACCGCCACGAATTCATGTGGCGAACATGCCCGAGCCATCTCATGTGTCTAAGCAGAAATACGCAGTTCACTGCATACATGCCACTAAGGCGCAGTACTTCATTGTCTGCAACCTTGTCGCACCAACCGATGCGCAGAATCCACCGCACCATATATCTGACAACCTTTGATACATAGTTCATTTCGCTGCCGTATAGAACAGACAACACTATTGACTTGTACACCATCAGCTTCATTTCAATGTTAAGCTGACGGTTGTTCTACGCACGTTTCTCCCATTTGCCAAAAGCAGCAGCCGAAATCGATACGAGGGTGCGCAGCTCGTGCATCAAAAGGAGCTAGGTAGAGAGTACGCTCCCTAGGCAGCAGAATCTCACTGGTTTGCAAAAACTTCAGCAGCAAAGCAGATTTGCGGCATGCCCATGGATTCTACATCTGGAGTATGACGAAAAAGACCAGCAGTCTTAATTGTGTTGGTAGTGAGACCGAATTTGGCCGCTGTCGAAGCCATAGCACTAGCCATGTGCTACAACTCACCCGCGCTGTGTGCAAACAACGCACAGTCGTCAGCGAACAACAACATACGGATAGTTGTCTCACAGACTAGGGTTCTCGCACAGAAACGACGGAGGTTCAGCAACTCACCACCATTACGGTGCTCCATACGTACACCGTAAGCACAAGCCGAATCAAAAGCACAAGACATCATGGCAGGAAGATAAATATTAAACACGGCAGGAGCTAAGACACAGCCTTATTGTACACCAGTGACAACTGCAAAGTCATCCGAGGTCCCTCCACTCCGCTGCACCCGCGCTCGCATACCACTGTGCAGACATCCAAGTAAACTTACAAACCTACGCAGACAACCAAAGTTACCCAACACCAGCCACACTGCCTCGCGGTTCACAGTATCAAATGTCTTGGTGAAATCAACTAACAGCGAGTACAACGGCTAGTGGCGTTCTCTATACTCCTGCAACCGATGAGCCGCAAACACCATACCTATAGTGTTGCGACCAGAACGGAATCCATACTGCGCTTCCGCCAGGTGAAGTTCCACAACCGGACTGATGAGACGGTTAAGCAGGATTCGGGCAATCACCTTGCTCACACAACTAAGCAAGTTGATGCCACGATAATTCGTACAACATTGCCTGCTCCCTTTGCCCTTGTAAAGTAGTAGCACAAGGGCATTCTTCAGCTCAAGAGCCACCTCCTCCTCAACCCATACGTGTTGCAACAAGTGGTGCAGCGCAGTCACCAACGCGGGTACGCCGTGTTTCAATTCTTCAGGCAGGATCCCGTCGGCACCGGCACACTTGCCGTTTCGCAGCTGAGCAAGTGCTCTCTGCGTCTCATCCAGTGTCGCCGTGTCCGCCAGACTCGCCTTCACATCGTGCTACTTCAGGCCGTTCATTGCAGGCCAGTCGAACTCTGAACGGTTGTTCAAGAGACAATCAAAGTGTTTCCGCCAGATCTGCATCATGCCTGCAGTCTGTGTGCAGGTAGCGCCTGAGCTACCATCGATCAGCGTCCTCGGTGTTGTGTTTCCGCTGATAGTACGGATAACCGATGCAGCCACTCCGGTCACGATACAGCCACTCCAAATCAGAAGACAAAGACCTCTGGCGGAACTTGTATGGAGCACTCGGGAAGCAGAATATACAAGCATGATATGGAGTCAAAATAAATACTTCACGAGAGAAAGACCTAATTGAAAGTTTCTGACTAGATGCGCAAAAAACTCGCTTGTTGGCTGACCAAGTAGTGTGCTCACTGGAGGGCCACAAGGTAGATCATTCTGATTGGTCCACCTCAAGGTAAAACGATACCATTGGCTTACTCGCGTTGGCTAGTCAATCGGCTACATGCGGCATACAACCGATCTTCTCCGAGCAGCTCTAGACACACACACACACACACACAGAGTTAGCTTCGATGGCTGCTATAGACGGGCCCCGGTAACACTCAGCGGCTCCAACCTCGGTCCATACACAGCCTTCAAGGAGTCAAAGAATTCCTCGTGTTGGTGACGTTCGGCGTATCACTCCATCTGCTACGTCTTCTCCGTCCACCATGCATTTTAATGCGACGGAGCTCTGCCGTCAGTCGTCGTCCAATTCGTTCAAACTTTCTCTTCTTTCCCAAGTTACTGGGCTATGCCACATGTGCAGCAAATGCTACATTCTTCTCACACACCAACGCGCCAATCGTCGCACTGCTATCATCAAACAAATCAGGCCGCTTACAGTTTGCGCGCCCGATGGTCTCCTCGGCATCAGCTGTCACCTGGTCACAAATGTGGTGCCACAGGTCGCCCACTGTGGCTGTGCATTCCACATTACAGGCGTGCAGCCATCGCCTTCTCCAGCTCAATACGTTTCTTCACAGTACCGAGGGAGATAATGTTATATGTACGCCGATTCACGGCGGGAAAGCAATACATAGATTTACGAAAATATATGTACAGTTTGGTCCGCACCAATTTTTGATCAGTGTCACACTCAGCTCTACGCACTACACGTGTCATGCGCACTTCACGCTGATGTACGATGACATGGTCGAGCAGGTAAGCGTGACCACTCCGTGGGTGCGTCCAAGTTGCTGTATCACTCGCCCTCAGTGCAAACCGAGTGTTCGTGATCGTCAGGCCGTGAGTGGCACACAGTGAAAGCAGTCTGTCACCATTCGCATTCGCTGAACCAATGCCCTGCAGACCGATGACATGTGTCCACACCGATGCATCACGCCCAATGCGCGCGTCGAAATTCCCTAGTAGAAACAGTCAGTCGCCCCTCGGCACAGACGGTATCACGGAGGATAAATGAGCGTAGAATTGATCGCGCGCGTCATCAGGATAACACATGGTCGGACCGTACGTGCTTATAAAAGTGGCAAACTTACCTATTCTGAGTCGTAGGCGAGCAGTCATTAGTCGCGTGCTGGTGCCAGTTGGTTCACTCACCAGGTTGCCATGGAGGCGGTCGGATATTGCAAATCCGACCCCATGTTTACGTGGTGCTGATGTGGTGTTGCCCATCCAGTAGTACGTGTAGCCAGCATCCGCTTCATACAACTTACCTTGCTCAGCGATCCAGGTGGCACTGAACGCCGCAATATCGATGTTGTAGCGCGCCAGTTCCATCGCGACCAGTGTAGTGCGTCGCTGGGAGGGGTTACTCGTGTTCCGGTCCAGTAGTGTGTGCACGTTCCAGCACCCGATGCTGAGTGCTTTGCGCGCAGGCTTATGACTGCATTGGTGGGCAATCGCACGCGATGTGGAGGTTGTGCTTCAGAGGTCTGCTTGAGGAACTCCACCCGGAGCCTTTGGCTCAATAGTCTGACACACAAGGTAGTCTGTGATTTGCAGGTTTGCTTAACGGACTCCACCCGGAGCCTATGGCTCAATAGCCTGGCGCACAAGACAGTCGGTGGTTTGGTGGTTTGCTTGAGGGACTCCGACCGGAGACGTTGGCACAGTAGCCTGATGCACAAGGCAGTAGGGAGTAGATCCAGCTCCGGAATGTGATTGCAGACAGATTGGGATCTGCTGGAGGTCCGTCACACTGAAACAATTCATATGGGTTTTGCGGCCGTTGTAGGATACGCATCTGCGACCACGGCCAGACGCAGGTGGGTTTTGGCGGGTTTGCACCAATTTGACCAGAGGCTCTCTGGCTTGAAGCGGGCAGTAGCAAAGCAATGAACACTCGGAGTTGCCCTCCAACCGTCAGAGACAATGCGCAGTGCTCGTGCTCTACGCCAATCGATTGGTGAGCTTATAACCCGTAGACCTGTTGTCTCCCATGGCTAGGTTTTGCGGGAAGAGGGCGATCGATCACGTACTAACCTCTGAAAAGGATGGACTAGGAGACTGACAGGGCACCCACACCTGAGAGAACGACTCGGGTCCACAGCAAAAGCCTTCAATTAAATGTACACTAGAAAGATAGCGGGTCTAGCACATGGTCAGATCAGTGACTCATGCAGAGTGGTGTCCTGTATCTGAGCAGGGAGAAGGGCTTAACCGAACTACCACCCAGCGGTCGCCACGAGGAGGGGTCAACGAAATGAGCCCATGGCACAACAGTAGCAGTAGTGGGTAGACCACCTGTCAGGATCTAGCCACCACCAGTATCAGCGCACCCTAGGCTCCCCCGCCCAGCATGTGGCATACATATATGGTTGGCCACACCCGGTTTCACATTTGCCTGTCACTATGGCCAGCCACAGGACGCCTGCGCTCACAGAGGGACCATAGGTGGCTTGCGCTGCACCACCCATAACTCCACCAACACACCCCATATCCAGTGTAAACTCGAAGGAATAGGACCGAGAGGCATCAACGGAGCCGGCTCACACTTCTTCACAGGCAAACACAAGCACGCTGTATTTGGGAATCAACCGCACACAAGGCGGTGGCTGGACCATAGTCCGCTCCACACTGAGTGCATGTAACCACTCTTCGAGCCTAACACGGCCACAAGGACCATGCACCCCGTCCCCTCCAGCAACGAGCAACTGTCTCAAAGAGCCAGTATGGACGAGGTAGTGGGTACTAGACAGGTAGGCACCTTCTCAACATGCACAACAAGTGCAGCCACACCGCGGATATCAAGCAACAGCCAATCACTTAAAACGACGATATCAAATAAAACAAATCGAATAAAGCATACAATACGGTGACATAACTCTTCACTAAATGAGCGTATGAAATAAATTGGTTGCAAAAAATCCGCGGAAGGTGCAATATGCAAGAAAATATGTCTTAAGAAAATGCAATAACCGCGGAAATGTTGTCGAAATTAACTACAATTAGCTTTAGCAACGTGTGCAAGTTTATAGAAGATAGTACAGGTAGAGATTAATATGAGAAAGGAAAGCGTTAGGACAAAATTACAAACCCACCACCGGAAATAAAGAGACAGCATACAAACAAGCGGTTAGTAAATTGAATGCAGCGTACCTACAAACGCTGCGCCAGGTCTGCCTACGTTCTCTGCAGCACTCGTCGTCGCTTCGGTGGTGGCCCCGAGTGGCCTCGCTCATGGTTCACTAGATCTGCCTGACTCAGCCACTCGCGACCGCAAGTGCTACAGCACCATGCGCTCGATGTCGATAGAGTATAACTCATCGGGGCCTGTCGCTTCCGCAGTTGACGCTTCTCCTCTGCACGCAGGATGGCTTTCACTTGCACCTCGGCAATTGCCTTCGTGATCAGATCGCGCCATACACGCCGATCAACCACCTTCGATTCCCATGGCCTGCAATCAAGATTAGAACATGAAAGACTCAATTTGATCATGTCCTGGTAACGTAACTTTGGTTTCTGCCCATGTCGCTCCCCAATGTTTAGCTGAGCAGATAATAGTTGTTTTGGTATCCGCGTCGAATCCATACGGCTCACATGACCGAGCCACCTAAGGGGTCTCAGCAAAAGTGTGCAGTCCACTGCATACATTCCACTTCAGCGCAACATTTCGGTGTCCGCAACTGTCGCACCAACCGATGCGCAGAATCCGTCGCAAACATTGTTGATGGAACCGCTTGAGATATCGCACATTTCGAAGGTACATCGTAAACGTTTCACTGTCGTATAAAAGAAAGGACAGCACCATGGATTTGTACACCATTAGCTTCTTGCCAAAGGTAAGCTAATGGTTGTTCCACATCATCATCATCATCATTACACGTTAGCTGGAGGTGGAAAACACCTCAGCTATTGTGCCGCAATACAAAAGACAAGAAAAGGAAAACAAACAGTGGCACGCCCGCTGAGTCCCCAGTAACGGATGGACATCGATCCGGAGAGTTAACAGCTGGCTGCCGTAAAAGAGGGTCATATAATGCCTATCAAATGAGATCGTGATTAGAGGGGGATGCTAAACAGGAGGGGGATGGACAAAGGAACTCAACACAAACGCCATTGATGCCGGCCCCTAGCCATACCAGCAAGTGTGTCCAACCAAACGTGTTCACCATCCTTAGGACCCCAGCCAGGCAGTCGGGATGCACCAACCGACGCTAACTTCGAAGTGAGGGTTTTCATTTCTCTCGACCAAGTCATCACTTGGTCGCGCAAACAATGCACGTCGCGGGAGTCGGTCAGCTGGCATGCGCAACACGTGGCCTAGCCATCGGAGCCTGGTGCGTAATATAATGGTGCTGAGAGGTTCGTTCGCTCTTCCTGCACCAAATACGCGACGTCGAACACGCCCATTGCTCACGCGGTGCTCCCACCAGACATGAGTTAAGCTGCGAAGGCAGCGATGATGGAATATGACGAGCCTCTTTATGTCTGTCGACCTGATAGGCCAGGTTTCACAGCCATATAGGAGAGTTGAACGGACGGCTGCATTGTAAACTCTGCCCTTCAGGGTGAGAGTAATGTCGCGTCTGCGCCACAGGTGGCGGAGATTGGCAAAAGCACCTCGGGCTTTTGCTATACGGTTCGTAACCTCATCTTCAATCCCACGGGTGCTAATATAGCTGCCCAGGTACTTGAATTCCTGAACGACTTCTAGCAGATCACCACTAAGCGTTAGCGCATGATTGGGTCCCTGCCAATCTTAGAGACGTACTTTGCATTTCGATGGAGCGAAGCATAGCCCAAAACGATTGACAGCCAGTGCTAATCGGTCCAGTGCTGTTTGGCATGTTTGGGAGATGTCACAGATTAGGGCAATATCGTCCGCATACTACAAGTCAAGAAGTCGCTCACCAGGAAGAAGATCCACACCTTCTAGGTCGTGTCCAGCGAACGCTGTTTCAATGACTTCATCAATAGCGAAGTTGAAGAGGAAAGGTGACAGCGGGCATCCTTGTCTCACACCGCTGGTGATACTGAAGGGTGGTGACAGTTTGCCACAAACCCTCACCCTGCCCGAACTACGCGCGTACAGCGCTTTGATAATGTTTACATATTTATCAGGCACACCTTTCCTCAGCAGACAATAACAAAGGGCACATCGATCGACTGAGTCGAAGGCACCTTTTATGTCAAGAAACACGACAACTGTGGGTCGCCAATAAACATGGCGGTGCTCCAACACTTCACGCAAGGTGAAGATGTGGTCGATGCAGCCCCGACCTCGAAGAAATCCGGCTTGCTCTTCACGAAGCTGGCTTTCACGGGTGCCAGTCAGTCTGTGGAGAATGACAGAGGCAAGCAATTTAGAGGCAATCGAAATCAGACTGATCCGTCTATGATTGCCGCATTCCAAACGGGAGTTCCCCTTGAAAATTGGGACAATGACGGAGCGGTTCCAGTCTGCCGGGACTGTCTCCTGCTCCCAAAGTTTTACAAGCAACTCGTGCAAATCATCTACTAGAGCAGGTCCCCCGAATTTGAAGAGGGCTGGGGGAATTCTATCTGCCCCTGCGGCCTTATGCAATTTCAACAGCCTGCTCTCACGTTCGACTTCTGTGCGTGAGGGCGGATCCAAGGAGACGTCCCAGGGAGAAGGGCGCTCAATGCCCGAAGAAGAAAGCGATAACTCAGGTTGGTTAAATTGCCTTGCAAAGTGTTCAACCCAACGCTCCAAGCGTTTTGACAGACTGTGGATCGGCTGCCCACTCTCCTCGCGTATGGTCTCGCTAACACCAGGTCTCCTGCTGCCTGTTTCCCGTATCAGACGGAATAACTTACGATGATTACCAACGGCAGTGGCTGTTTCCATCTCAGAGGCACGATGAGACCACCAGGTTTTGCGGTCCTTCTTCAGGCTAGCATGTAGTTTTGCCGAGATTTTTGCGAGCCTCATTGTATTCGCTTCCAGCCGGAATACTTCGGCGAGCATCCATAAGTTCCAGAGACTGTGTAAATACCCAATGTCCGGTTTGACAATTTGCTTTGACACATGAAGACATGCCTGCTAACAGCAACGCTTGAGGAATATGCGACCAATGATCTTCAACGGTGTTTAGTGGGCGCTTACTCAGCCCAGATGTCAGCGCATTTGGTACACATTCAGAACATCTGGCTTCGTCAGCTGGCTAGTGTCAATCCGTTCACATTGACGTTGCGGACGTCCACCGAAACGCACCAGGAGGTCGGCACAGACAAGTGCGTGGTCAGGGTCCACGCTCGTGCTCCAAATCGAGCGACAGTTTTGGACACAGCCTCTCCAGCGGTAACTGATAGCGATATGATCGATTTGCGTCCATGGCTGGCCCGAGGCTGGTGGTCGCCAAGTCAAGCTTCTGCGGGTGCTGTGTCGAAAGTTAGTGCTCGCGAGAAAGAGGCGAGCATCTTCACACAGCTGTAGCAATCGCTCACCATTATCATTACGGGAGCCTACACCATGTTGGCCGCCCAGATGAAGCTCATCAGAGGACAATTTTCCGACTTGGGCGTTTAGATCGCCAGTCAACACCACAGTATCCGTGCTTCTTCTGTAACGAAGGAGCTTGTGAAGTTGCTGATAGAAATCATCTTTCACCGAATCAGTGCTACAGTTTGTAGGGGCGTAGGCCGCCATGACAAACTGGCACCGTTTTTCCCTGCGCGACTTCGTAACACGGAACGAACCAGGTAATCTAACGGCGCACATCCTACTGTTTACTGGGATCCAATCAATCAGGGCAGCTTCAGCCCGGGGACTCAAAACAATGCCGACGCCAGCTTGAGCGGCATTTGAAGCTGTATCATCGCCAGACAGGCGCAATGAGAATGTACCGCCAGTGTCGCATGTGGGGGATCTCAGGGTAAGCACGGAGCTCGAACCTTGCAGGTGGATTTCTGATAAACAGCAAATGTCGATCGATAGGGTCTCTAGTGTGCGGGCAAGTGCAGCCTGTTGGTCAATCTGCAGTAAAGTGCGCACATTGAGGCTGGCCAGTCTTAGCGAGGATATGGGGATCTAAATAGAAACTGATGAACTGACGTTGTCCGCTTGGTTGAGCATGGACTTGTCGACTTGACTGGAGCGAGGCCCTGCGTTTGTGTGTGATTTGAAATTAGAAGACAAGCGACTATTGACGTAAGCTGGGGGAGGGCCAAGAATTGGGGGGTTGAAATGGGGGGATGTAAATAAAGTTGGAGCGGGACGATAAGGATGAAGAAGCGCAAGAAGGGGTGTAAGAAAACGGGAAGGCCTGAGCAGTAGCATCCATACCCCTATCCACCCTGCTTGATGCAGCAGATAGGGCGCCATTTATTAGCCTCTGCGACGGCCAGAGCATCAAGAAATTGTTGTAGGAAAGGTTCATTGTATTGCGTGGGCAGAATACTGTCAGGTTGCCCAGGCCTAGACAGGAGAACGATTAGGGCTCTCAACCAAAGCCTTTGGTTCATAAACCTTACCGCAAGGCAGCGGGTTATGGCACTGGATTACAGAGCCCGTTTTATGAAATGAGGAGCCACCCCCATTAAAACCCCCAAGCTGGAGGACCAGGAGGCTGTTTGTTTGGCCTCTAACCATTGACCAATCTGGTATGAGTGGTTCTGAAGGTGCAAAAAAAGTACCACCCAGCATGGCTCAATAGATCTCTGAGGCACGCAAACCATCGCACCACGGTAAGGTCCAGCTTCATTGCTCTCTAGCTTCCCGAACGCCGGCGCTGCCTTAGAGACGCGAATACGAAGCTCAGTGTGAAGCTGCTGGTCAGTCAACATCACACTCACAAGGTGCAGAAGCGGGAGATGGTTTCTAAGACTTCAGCACCGATGCTGATTTGCGGCAATATTGAAGATTGCAACTCCGGTGAAGGCTGAAACAGACAGTTTTGCTTGTGTTGATGGTGAGACCGAATTTGGCCGCTGTCGAAGCCAGAGCACTAGCTGCCGGGAGAAAGTAAGAATTGCTTAGGAAATCCACTATTTTAGCGATTAATCGCTTATTAACGCTTGGCGCATCGATTTCGAACGTCCCGGAAGGTTCTGGTTCTTCGTGTGACTCAAAACCACCTGACACATCGGAAAAAGATACGGGGAAACACTGACCATGGTAGCTGACCTTCCAAATCTAGAAGTCGAAGATCAGTAAGGAACCTATAAATACAGTCAACGTCCGCAGTAGTTGTACAGTTTTCGTTGGCGGCGATTAATACGTTTTTTCACGGGTTTCACGGGTTTGCGCAGAACGAGTAAGCGTAGCTTTTCGGTGGTTCTGCCTTGGGATCTTACGGCAAGGTCCTGATCTCGTCGGTAGGTACCAGATGTTGTGGGTCTCGACGCAGTAGTGGTGTTCAGCACAAGTATTCAGCGAGTTGACTGTGGGAACGTGGATACCTGGAACAAAAGAGTGGTGTAGGTAAATTCGGCAAAGTTGGATAGAAGCAAAATGATAGAAGCGCCGCGTGTTAGCTGGGCAAATGGCCAGATCTTAGCAACGTGGAAGACCAGCGAGGTAAGAGCCAAGCGTCTAGGCGCTGTTTGAAGGCCTCCGTATTGGGCGCTGAGACAACAACTTCAGGGAGGGGGTTCCAAGCGAAGGCAAAAGGTCTTTGGCGTTTTGCTTTTTCCTTCGGTTGGGCTAGAAGTT